GAGACACAGCTGTAGGCAGCTGCAGGCAAGGGCTATGGCCCATGCAAAACCCAGGGCTCTTTCTACCTTCACTCCTGGGCAGGTTAGAGACCTGGCAGGTTCTCTAACTTCCGCCAGGTTAGAGACCAGGTTGTGGGGAGGGACAGAGCCCTAACTGACGCCAGGTGGCCCAGGTGGTGCCGTGGGAGCGTCCTGGCCTGGGAGTCAGGGAACTGCTCTAGAAGTATCCTGGGCAAGACACTGAACTCTATATAGGGCTCAAGCTCCTCCTGTGTTTTGAAACTGAAATTGATTAAATGCTCACTCTGTGGCAGGGATAATACAGTGACTTGGGGATAACCAGCATGGTCTCCCACAGTCCTATCTCATTTAACCACATGTGCATTTAATAGTTTAAGAAACTGAGTCTCTGAGGGGTTAAGACACCTTAGTCAAAGTCACACAGCTGGTAGGTGGCTGCCCAGGACAGGGACTGGGATGTCTCCCAGCAAAGCCTGTGCTCTACACCACTTCAAATCCTACCAGAGGGGGTTCTTTTTTTTTTTTTTTTAAAGATGGGGTTTCACCATGATGGCCAGGCTGGTCTTGAACTCCAGACCTCAGGTGATCCACCCACCTTGGCCTCCCAAAGTGCTAGGATTACAGGCGTGAGCCACCGTGCCCAGCCCTGAGGGGGTTCTACCATGCCTATGGTTTCAGCCTGAGGGAGGGGTCAGGTTCCAACAGCCCAGATTGAGTAATCCAGAACCAACCTGGAGACCCGGAGAGAACCCACTTGAACAGCCAGCTGCCCTAAAGCAGATGAAGCAGTTGTAGGAAATCAGAATATGTCACCACAAAATATGCCCCTTTGGCATAAGGACTATTTTGAGCTGGATACAAATGAAAGTTCAGATTAGAAAGAAGTCTTCCCAGAGCTTCCTTATCTGACTAAAAGCAGAAACTACTTCTTCCTTTTTTTTTTTTTGGAGACAGATTAAAGAAACTGTTTTTCTCCTGTTAATCTGTCTTGTCTAATTTGCAGGGCCCCATCGGAAAACCTAGGAAAGTAAAGGAAAAAAGTTAAATGTTTTGGAACCCATCAGTCTCACTCTGTCACCCAGGCTGGAGGGCAGTGGCACAAACACAGTTCACTGCAGTTTCCACCTTCCAGGCTCAAGCTATCCTCCTGCCTCAGTCTCCTGAGTAGGTGGGACTACAGGCACATACCACCACGCCCAACTAATTTTTGTTTTCCTATTAACTTTTTAAATTTTTTTTTTTTTTTGAGACGGAGTTTTACTCTTGTTACCCAGGCTTGAGTGCAATGGCGCGATCTCGGCTCACCGCAACCTCCGCCTCCTGGGTTCAGGCAACTCTCCTGCCTCAACCTCCTCAGTAGCTGGGATTACAGGCACGCGCCACCATGCCCAGCTAATGTTTTTGTATTTTTAGTAGAGACGGGGTTTCACCATGTTGACCAGGATGGTCTCAATCTCTTGACCTCGTGATCCGCCCGCCTCGGCCTCCCAAAGTGCTGGGATTACAGGCTTGAGCCACCGTGCCCGGCCACTTTTTAAAATTTTAAAAACTTTTTAGAAAAGATGGGGGTCTCACTATGCTGCCCAGGCTGATCTCAAATTCCTGGGCTCAAGTGTTCCTTTCACCTCAGCCTCCCAAAGTGCTGAGATTACAGGCATGAGCCACCATGCCCAGCCCTAAAAACAGAAGCTCCTAAGAAAAGAGGACTGCTGTAAAGCTCCCCATGGAAGCTCTGTGGCCACCTGATTCGCTTTCCCAGTTTGCCACCCTCAGAAGCCAAAAACCATTTTTCCTTTGCCTTGTCATTTCTCTACAAATGTATTGCTCTTTGTTAAGATGCTTTATATATTTTTTAAAAAAATGTTTTTGAGATGGAGTTTCATTCTTGTTGCCCAGGCTGGAGTGCAACAGCGTGATCCCAGCTCACTGCAACCTCCACCTCCCTGGTTCAAGTAATTCTCCTGCCTCAGCCTCCTGAGTAGCTGGAATTCCAGGCACCCGCCACCATGCCTGGATAATTTTTTTGTATTTTTAGTAGAGACAGGGTTTCACCATGTTGGCCAGGGTGGTCTCGAACTTCTGGCCTCGGGTGATCCACCCACCTTAGCCTCCCAAAGTCCTGGGATGACAGGCTTGAGACACTGCAATCGGCCTAAGATGCTTTATAGACCCCAAGCTCTAACCGCCCCTTTGAGTTACTCATGATTGATGTTTCTCTTGTGTGATTTGCATTATGTATGGTAATAGGCTCTGTTTTTATCTTGTTGATCTGCATCTAATTCGAAGGGCCCCAATCAGAGCACTTAGGAGAGTAAAGGAAAAAAAGTTAAGTTTTCCCTTATACAGACTCTAGAATCCACACTGAGGTGCCCTTCACCACCTACAGTGAAGGGCAACCAGCAAGCAACCAGAAACCTCAGATGACCACGGACCTCGCTGGAGGCCTTGAGGCAGAGGTGATAAGGAGCTGGCCTCCTGCAGTGGGCACCCCTGCAACTTCCACCTTCTACCACCCCCGCTTCCCAAAACCAAAGGCAGTATGCTTCAGTGGTCAGGAGTGTGGAGTCCACTCCAGGGAGGGACGATTCTCAGAGGCTTGCTTGCTGCGTGATCTCAGGCAAGTGTCTTAACCTCTGTATGCCTTAGTAGCTTCCACTGTAAAATGAGATTTGTCATGAATCCCATTGACAAATCCCATTGAAAAAGACGACGTACTCAGCCCGCTTAGCCCATACAGAAAGTGGTCAAATAGGAGCATTTGTATAACCAAAGCAACTGAAAGTGAACTCTTCAGCACTGACCCAAGAAAGGGAACAATCTCAGGGACCAGCAAGAAAGCAGAAGGGGCATTTTCACACAATTACACAATGGGCGCAACCTTGAACCCCGCCTTATTTATAACTTTTCCTTACACTGGGGAGAAATAGAGAAAGCCTATTTGTTGTTAGATTTGCATTTTGTTAGCTCTGAGTATATGGAGATTGTAAAATGAGATACTCGAGCCAAAAATTCCCCAGGAAATTGGTTTTTGAAAAATTATTCAGTCGGTGTCAAGTTCCACAAGGGATTAAGTTTCTGTTCTCCTCACAAATATACCAACTTTTAAAAATGAATTAAGGAGTGATCACTATTTCAGATAAAAAGTAGGGTCTTCAGAGAATTGGACGTTCTTTTAAAACAGTGCTTTTTACCTGGCACAGTGGCTCACACTTGTAATCCCAGCACTTTGGGAGGCCAAAGTGGGCGGATTGTTTGAGCTCAGGAGTTCAAGACCAGTCTGGGCAACATAGTGAAACCTCATCTCCACCAAAAATATAAAACTTAGCTGGGCGTGGTGGTGTGTGTCTGTGGTCCCAGCTACTTGGCAGGATTGCTTAAGCCTTGAGGCTGGGTTGGGGAGTGTTGTATGGAGGTTGCAGTCAGCTGAGATGGCACCACTGCACTCCAACCTGGGTGACAGAGTGCGACTCCAATTCAAACAAAACAAACAAAAACAGTGCTTCTCAAATATTGGCAGCATCAGAAACATCTGAGGCTGGCTAAGTTCAGATTCCAGAGACTGATTTGTGGGTCTGGGGGCCTGTGATTGCTGTTGCTGGTTCACCAAGTACACTCAGAGTAGCTATCCTTTTTCACGTATTTATTTATTTTGAGACAGAGTCTCATTCTGTGGCCCAGGCTGGAGTGCAGTGGCGTCATCTCAGCTCACTGCGACCTCTGCCTCCCAGTTCAAGCGATTCTCCTGCCTCAGCCTCCCAAGTAGCTGGGACTATAGGCATGCACCACCACACCCAGTTAATTTTTAAATTTTTAGTAGAGACAGAGTTTCACTATCTTGGCCAGGCTGGTCTCGAATGTTTGACCTCAGGTGATTTGCCCACCTTGGCCTCCCAAAGTGCTGGAATTACAGGCGTGAGCCATCACGCCTGGCCAGAGTAGCCACCTTTGCAGAAATGTCCTGGACCATTTCAGTGATTCCCTTTCCAAGAATCCACTTAAATAGAGGTCTGTTGTACAAAGCAAGACACTCACATAGTTAGTATGTCCCCCGCAATGTTTATGTTTTTTGGATTGCTGACTTACTTTCACAATTTAAAAGTTGTCATTGTAGATTTCATTTCTCTAGACTTGAATACAGTTATTGCACCAAAAAAAAAGGTGGGGGGGGGCTCGTTGAGCTGCCCTGGTTCTGGGTCTGCTGAAGCTCTGTGTTCAGCTCCGGGGAAGCCCTTCCATTTGGAAACAGTGGGTCGTCAAGGGCAGGGAAGTGGGGCCAGCAGAACCAAAGGAAATAGAGCAGATCCGCACACCCGCACCCACTCCCAAAGTCAGTCTATCATCAGAAAAGCTGAAGCTGCTGGGTGCGGTGGCTCAGGCCTGTAATCCCAACACTCTGGGAAGCCGAGATGGGTGGATCACTTGAGGTCAGGAGTTTGAGACCAGCCTGGCCAACATGGTGAAACCCTGTCTCTACTAAAAACACAAAAATTAGCTGGGCGGGAGGCTGAAGCAGGAGAATCACTTGAATCTGGGAAGTAGAGGTTGCAGTGAGTCAAGATTGCACCACTGTACTCCAGCCTGAGCGACAGAGCGAGACTCCATATCATTAAAAAAAAAAAAAAAAAGAAAGAAAGAAAAAGAAAAAAGAAAGGCTGAAGCTGCTGGGAGTCTCCAAAGCAAAACACTTGACATCCAAGACCTTGGGGCACCCCAGCCACCAGGGCCTTGTGAGGAGCAGGTGAGGTCACTGGCTGGGGTCAGTAAGCACTCAAGAAGCATGCTGACTAAATGAATAGTAAAAATAACCCGAGGTGACATTTTAAGGGTGGTGGGAGAGAGGGAGCCCACAGCACTGGTATAAGAGGTGGCACCCCTTTTTTGGCCTTCTTTGCTTCCTCTTTTCTCTGCCCACTCCCAAGGCCCCATCAGTGGTTCTAGGGGGCATCCCCCAGGCTGGGGCACTGGGGACCCTCACTCACCAGGGGCAGCTTTCCGGATTTCACTGTACACCGTCTCTGTGCCCTTCTTTCCTAGATCTGGAAAAGGGACCAGGCACAAGTCAGTAACTGCCTCTGGGAACCAGGTCAGTCCACTGCAGTCGTAGGAAAAGGTCTGAGGCTCTGCAGGCAAGGCTGTACCCCACTATTGCACCCCACCAGAACCAGGTCCAGAAGCTCCCGGAGACCTTGTCATGTCTGACATTAAAAGATCCCGGCTGGGCGTGGTGGCTCACGCCTGTAATCCCAGCACTTTGGGAGGCTGAGACAGGCGGATCACTTGAGGTCAGGAGTTTGAGACCATCCTGGCCAACATAGCGAAACCTCGTCTCTACTAAAAACACAAAAAATTAGCCCAGCATGGTGGTGGGTGCCTGTGCCTCCAGCTACTCAGGAGGCTAAGGCATGAGAATCGCTTGAACCTGGGAGGCAGAGGTTGCAGTGAGCCGGGCTTGTGCCACTGTACTTCAGCCTGGGAGATAGACTGAGACTCCATATAAAAAAAAAAAAGGAGATCCTGGTCTAACCAGCATCACCTCCACTCTGGGAGTAGGAGGTCAGCAGGCCATTGTGGAGCAGGGCTGCGTGCTCCAGAGGACCCCAACCTGAAGGGCCACAGACGGAGGGGCACCTAGCAAGGGCCTGCAGCCTCCAGCTTGGCAGCCCCACTCCTCTTCCCCTGCCACTGTGACCCCTGTCCAGACATTCTACCAGGTCCCTTGACGCAGGGCTGGGCCATGGCCTCCCAATCACCTGAGAGCCCAGACCCTGGGATCCAGATCCAGATCCCAAGGTCTGGGTTAGAGCCTGGGGTTGTCAGGGACCCCAGGAATAGCTGGACTGAGAACTCTTACAGGGCTAGATGGCTGGGCTGGCCAGTGTCACTGCCAGCTCCTGGGCCTCACTGGAGCTTTCTGGTTGGATCAGGCTGGGGGGTGCTGATCCCACCCAGCTTTTTTTAGGAGCTCCTCAGGGGCTCTAATATGCAGACAGGGCTGAGATCCTCTGGGCTGGACCCTCTCAACACAGCAGCATGATGACCCACCCAGGGTGTGGGGTATACCTGGAGGAGACTCAAGGGCGCCCACACTGCCTTCTGTATACCTTACACTGGGGTGTGGGCACAAGATGTGTACACAAAAATATACACACAGCATATACAGACACACATTCATGCACACAATGTGTATACATGCTATGCATACCCTCATACAGTGTATCCATTGTGTATCTACACACATTGTATGCACACATACAGCATATCCATATACACTGCACGTACAAACATGCAAGCTGTGTGTACACACACTCAGGTACACAGGGTGGGCACACATATACACACTCACCAACCCTGAGGAAGCAGGTTGGAGCCTGGCCACTTCCCAGCTCCTGTCACCTGCACAGAGGCCCAGGAAGCCTCACTGTTGAAAGGAGCCTGATGCTGTGCAGGCCATCGTTCTCCTCTTACAGAGGGGGAAAGGGAGCCCCAGATAGGGTAAGGTGCTTCCTGTGCCATGGTCAGTGCCAGGTGGGTGTTTCCCATCTCGGGGTGGACGGCCGGGGTGCGACCATGGACTCCACCTGCACCGAGATGCCCTCGACTCACCATGCTTCGCTCTCACCTCCTGGCCCCACACGCACTCCTCCACTGCCAGCACTGCCCTTTCTCCTTGCCCAATTCCCCCATGACCCTGGTGGAGCTTCACGTACGGGCCAACACCCCCACACTCACCCTCCCTCTGTGCCCTGGAAAGTTACAGGGCCCCCGACCCCACAGCATGTTGGTGACATTTGCCTACGACACACTGACGTGACTTGTTCCCAAGACCGTCTCCCTGGCAGACCCCGAGCTCCTCTGGGGGTGATGGCTGGGGTCTGGGACATGTCCCATTCCTAGGCTTGCACAGCTGCCTGGGGGCACCCATCCAAGTTTAAAGCAACAATAATGGTGGTGTTTCCTGCATCAGGAACCATTTGTGAGGAGAAAGGCTGGGGGTGGGTCAGATCCTACAGTTGAACTGGGGGCATGTGGGGTGACTAGGGCCTTGCAGTGACTTCCCCAGGGCACCAACAGGATTTGGAACTCAGTAGAGTGGCTGAGCTGCCAGGGCATCCCGTTGCTGGCACAGCAGAGATGCCCACACAACCCTTGCTCTCTCTCTGTGGCACCAGATGTGGGGGCCTCGAGAGAAGCTCTAGGGATCCCCATCCCCTGCTGGGGGCTCCTCTACATCCCCAAGGCACCCTCTGGTCGATGTCAGTCCTGGCCAAGTCACTCACTCAGCAGAATCCTAGACACCTAGTATGAACCTGCACTGTGGAATAGGAAAGGTGAGGGGCCTGCTCCCAGCTTTCCGGAGCTCCAGGCTGCGAGGCACACAGGCGCACAAGCAACACAGACACTGCAATGAATGCTGTCAAACGCCATGTCCCAGGCACATGGTGGGTCATGGCCAGCTCACTCCCCACCCAGGCCCACATGGGGGCTGGGGCAGGTGGGGAATAAATGGAGGGAAAGGGCTTGGTGGTTGGGCCTAGGAACTCGGAGAGCTTGTGATCCCCACGGTCCCCAGGCCCACAAGGGGCAGCTGGGAGACCTCTTTTGTGGCCTTGGGGATGCTGTAACATCCCCAGGGCAGCAGGAGTGACTGCTGCTTCTTGGTGGCGCTGCTAGCGTGGCAGCTGCCCCTGAATCTGCCCAGCTCAGTGACAGGTGGGCAGGGGGAGTCACAGCTCATCACCGCCTCCCCTCCCCACCCCCTCTCTGGCAGCAGCTGCCTGCTAATGAGTCAACCAGGCCGGCAAGCTGTTTGTCTCCGCTGTCAGGAATGTTTCCGGATGGGGCTTTATTTTGGCTTCTGTTTTTCTCTGTGTTAACACAGAAAGAAATGGCTTCAACGTCATGGGGTTTTCCCAGCAATTAGCCTCAGCGCAAACCGGGATTGATTGAGTTCCTTCCCGCCCCTCCTCCACCCCAAGTTAGCACTTGGTCCGCTGCCACCAGGGTCAGAACTGGACTTGGTTCCCATCCCCTCCTCCATAGGAGGAAGCCTTGAAAGCAGGGAACTGCGTTGGCCAAGACCAGGTCAAATGTACTCACCACTGGCCTTGTACCCACAAAGCCCTTTTCTTACCTGGTAATACCTGGCTCTCCACCCACAGGAAGGCTCAGGCCTGACCTCACCCACTGCCCCTTAGCTGCTAAGGAGGAAGATGGGTCTGGAAAACTCTGCTTGAATCCCCAAAAAGCTCTCCATTGCCTTCAAGTGACCCTCATTACTGTCTCCCTGGGACCTCCGAAGCCCACACAGCCTTGTGCAAATGGAGAAAGAGAGGCCCGTTAGGTGATGGCGCCCCCGCAGCTGCACAGCTTGGCAAGGAGGGCACAGGCTGGCTGTCCCTGCTTCACCCAGCCCTGGGGGTTCTCGGTAGCTCCTTTGTTATTTGTCAATTTTTTGTAGAGGTGAGGTGGTCTTGCCTTGTTGCCAGGCTGGTCTTGAATGCTGGGCTCAAGTGGTCCTCTCATCTCTGCCTCCCAAAGTACTGGGATTATAATAGCTCCTTCTTGTTTCTTCAACCCTTCCCCATATTTGAGCAGGAAAAAGAAAATTAGGACCAGGCGCAGTAACTCACGCCTGTAATCCCAGCACTTGGGGAGGCTGAGGTGGGCAGATCACTGAAGTTTAAGAGTTTGAGACAGCCTGGCCAACATGATAAAACACTGTTTCTACTAAAAACACAAAATTAGCCAGGCATGGTGATGGGCACTTGCAATCCCAGCTATTCGGGGGGCTGAGGCACGAGGATTGGTTGAATCTGGGAGGTGGAAGTTGCAGTGAGTCAAGATCGTGCCACCGCACTCCATCCTGGGCAACAGAGTGAGAGCCCGCCACACACACACACACACACACACACACACACACACGCACACACATGCAGCAGGCAGTAATGAGGTCTCCCATCCTGGCCGTTCAGTTCTTCACCTGCTGCTACCATCTGCCTCCAAGATAGATCTAAAATAGAATCCATGCATTGCCAGCACTGTGGTTGCCCATCCCTCTTGCCTGGCAATAACATACTCATCTCTCTGTTTCCGTTCCTGCCCTCCTTCAATCTGTTTTCCATGCCAGCCATGAGGACTTTTTTGTGTGTGTGTGAGATGGAGTCTCACTCTATCGTCCATGCTGGAGTGCAGTGGCGCAATCTCAGCTCCCTGCAACTTCCACCTCCTGGGTTCGAGCAATTCTCTTGCCTCAGCCTCCCAGGTAGCCAGGATTACAGGCACATGCCACCACACCTGGTTAATTTTTGTATTTTTAGTAAAGACAGGGTTTCACCATGTTGGCCAGGCTTGTCTTGAACTCCAGACCTCAGGTGATCCACCCACCTCAGCTTCCGAAAGCGCTGGGATTACAGACATTAGCCACCCTGCCTGACCAAGGATATTTTTTAAAGAAGAAAGTTGAAAGCTGTTACTTCTCTGTGTAAATCCTTCCAAAGGTTCTCTAATCCATTTAGAATAGAATGCAAAGAAATCCTCAGAGACCCTGAACCCCGCCCCAGCTTCCTGTGCCTGCTTTCTGTCCTGCTCACTCTGCAGGCGCAAGGGTCTCCTTTCCAATCTCGGTTGAGTCAAGCTCTGAGCCACCTCACACTGCCCTTCCTATTTCCTGAGGCTGCCCACCCCCCCCTCCTGGTTGGGCTGCCTTCTTTGCACCCCTCTGGCTCTGCTTAAATGTCACTCCTCAAAGAGGCCTCCTTGGGCCACCCAAGCCAGAAAAGGTGTCACATTTTATGCCTGCTCAGTGGCTGGTCCATCATGGACCTTAATCACAATTTGTTATCTCAACAAATGAACCACTTTACAATGAAATAAAGACAAAGAGCCCTGGCTCGGTGGCTCATGCCTGGAATCCCAGCACTTTGGGAGGCCAAGGCGGGTGGATCACCTGAGGTCAGAAGTTGGAGACCAGCCTGGTCAACATGGTGAAACCCTGTCTCTGATAAAAATACAAAAATTAGCTGGACGTGGTAGTGGGCACCTGTAATCCCAGCTACTCAGAAGGCTGAGGCAGGAGAATTGCTTGAACCCAGGAGGTTAAGGTCGCAGTGGGCTGAAATTGCGCCATCGCACTCCAGCCTGGGCGACAAGAGCAACACTTGGTCTTAAAAAAAAAAAGGAAGAGAGCTTCAGGCCTGGCGTGTTCCCTACCCCCTCAGGTCCAGTCTAGACTCAGAAGTGAGTTGTGCAGATTGGGTAGCACACACCCCCCAGGCCCATTCTGTGGGTAGCTGTGGGAATGTGCCCCACTGGTGCGGCACACAGCACAGAGGCTCTACGGGACGTCCCTATAAGGAAAGTTTTGTGCATACCGCTGCTGACAAGGCACTCAGACCAGGCTCAAAAAGAAGAAAGGGAGGAACCCAAGACTCCTCCCAGATCATGGAGCAAGGGGTGATTTCAAAACCCCATTGCCATGTGGTCTGGCTAGTGGCTGGCTCGGCCTGGAAAACAGCGCACAGCCTGCACAGTCTGGAAAACTGCCCCAGGCTGCCTGGCTAGGTGGATGCAGCCTGGCATTAGCCTCAGAGGAGGGGAGATAGATGGCAATGATCCCAGGGAGCTTCCCAGCTGGGCAGGAAGGTTCTGAGACTGTTTCCTTTGAGCATGCAGGAGCCACTGTTTCCTTTGAGCATGCAGTAATCCTGGGACTGTGTACTGCCCAATCCAGGTGAGCAAAGGAGGATGAGGATTAGGGGATGCATTTAAAAAATTTTTTTAGACTGAGTCTTGCTCTGCCACCCAGGCTGGAGTGCATTGGTGCAATCTCGGCTCACTGCGACCTCTGCCTCCCAGGTTCAAGTGATTCTTCTGCATCAGCTTCCCCAGTAGCTTTGATTACAGGCACGTGCCATCATGCCCAGCTAATTTTTGTATTTTTGGTAGAAATGGGGTTTCACCATATTGGCCAGCCTGGTCTCGAACTCCTGGCCTCAAGTGATCCTCCTGCCTTGGCCTCCTGAAGAACCGAGATTACAGGTATGAGCCACTGCGCCTGGCTGGGAGATGTATGTTTTTTATGGTGCCCAAAGCAAATGAGATTGATGTTCTAGCATTTGCTATGAACCAGCCCACTGTGCATCCATTTCCCTGGCACAGAACCAGAGGTAGGGGCTTCCAGGCCAGCCTGCCCTTGAGAGAACCACATACACGGAAACAAAACCTGGGGTGTAAAATCAGTGCCACTGCTCACACGGACAGGGAGTTTGTGCTTTTAAAAGCCTTTACCTAAGTGTCCCTCTAAACGGCAAAGCACTCGATACCTTGAAATATGCGTTTGATTTACACACATTCGATCTGCACAGGCAACTTTAGGAACTCAATGGGTTTGGGCAAGGGGTCTACCTCTAGAAGGGACAAATTGCTCAGTACTTCCTAATTGCCTGGCACTTAGTAAGTGCTCAATAAATCTTACCTATTATTATTAGTACCCTAACTAATAATTACCGAAAATTGGCTGGGTGTGGTGACTTCCACCTATAATCCCAGCACTTTGGGAGACCAAGGTGGGCAGATCGCTTGAGCCCAGGAATTTGAGACCAGCCTGGGTAACATGGCGAAAACCTGTCTCTGTTTTTCTTTAATTAATTTTTTAAATTATTGAGGCCGGGTGTGATGCCTCACACCTATAATCCCAGCACTTTGGGAGGCCAAGGTGGGTGGATCACTTGAGGTCAGGAGTTCGAGTACAGCCTGGCCAACATGATGAAACCCCATTTCTACTAAAAATACAAACGAACAAAAAAAATTAGCCGGCTGTGGTGGCGCACACCTGTAATCCCAGCTACTCTGGAGGCTGGGGCAGAATGGCTTGAACCCTGGAGGCAGAGGTTGCAGTGAGCTGAGCTCGCACCACTGCTAGCCTGGGCAACAGAGAGAGACTCTGTTTATATATATATATATACACATATATATATATAAATTTTTTTTTTCCCTTTTCTTCTTTTTGAGATGAAGTCTTGCTCTGTCACCCAGGCTAGAGTGTAGTGGCATGATCTTGGCTCACTACAACCTCTGCCTACCAGGTTCAAGCAATTCTCCTGCCTCAGCCTCCTGCGTAGCTGGGATTACAGGCATATGCCACCACATCCGGCTAATTTTTTATTTTTATTAGAGATTGGGTTTCACCATGTTGGTCAGGCTGGTCTCAAACTCCTGACCTCATGATCCGCCCACCTCAGCCTCCCAAAGTTCTAGGATTACAGGCATGAGCCACCGGGCCCAGCCATATTTTTTTTCTTTGAAATTACTGAAATTCTACAGCTCAGGGCCAGAGCGAGGGCCTTTGCTCCTTCCTGTCTTAGGCAGGCCAGTAGGTCTGCTGATCACCTTCCTCTGGAGCAACTCAGGGTGTATAGACTCTTCCCACTGAGCACAGCACCTCTACCTTGGGGTTTAAACCCAAGACAAGGGCAATGGCTGGGGACTCAGTCGAGTGACGGGCACTTACCTTTGTGAGGCTCAGCTGAGGACACTTGCACTTCCGTGTACTGCACATCTGAGTTCCGAGGCTCTGCTCAAAGAAACCACAACAACTTTTGTTTAGACGGAATCTCTGCGGGAACCTCAGATCACAGAAGTAGAGACTTTGTTTATGAGATGGAGCAGCACTCTGTTGCCCAGGCTGGAGTGCAGTGGTGCAAACACCTCCAGGGTTCAAGTGTTTCTCCTGCCTCAGCCTCCTGAGTAGCTGGGATTGCAGGTGCTCACCATCACGCCCCACTAATTTTTATATTTTTAGTAGAGACATAGTTTCACCATGTTGGCCAGGCTGGTTTTAAATGCCTGACCTCAAGTGATCCACCCACCTCAGCCTCCCAAAGTGCTGAGATTACAGGCATGAGCCACTGTGGCGACCAGATTTTCATTCAAGTTATTAAAGTGTTCTGTATTTTGAGGGGGTGGCCAGACACAGGCTTAATTCCATTCTGGATGGTGAAGGGAGTACACATCCCACACTGGTCCCGGAGGCAGAGACAGGGCCTCGGGGCCCATGGCCTCCTCCCTGACTATTACCAGGATGTGGAGGGACCCTCTAGCCTACGTCCCTGTTTCTACAATGTGGGGACTTGGAACAGGTCAGTAGAGACAGGAAACAGCCCAGTATCAGCCACAGTCATTCTCCTAGTTCAGTCTCACTCAAGATGCTGCAAGCCTTCTCCATAGCCACAGGCAAACAAAGCTACCTCCAAGACTGAGAGGGTCTCAGGAAATGGGGAAAGGGGGTCACTAGCCTAAAAATACTTGGAGAGTATGAGGCATACAAGTGAACGAAATTGCTCAGGGTACTATGTTGAAAGGTAGGAAAGACGTTTGTCTTCAAGTCAAAACTAACATTAGTTTTGTTTTTAAAGCCCTAAAGAATAGTGATTCTCATCAGCTACTAAAACAATGATTCTGCAATCAAGGATACATTTCAGGCTGGGTGCGGCGGCTTATGCCTGTAATCCCAGCACTTTGGGAGGCTGAGGTGGGCAGATCACCTGAGGTCAGGGGTTCGAGATTAGCCTGACCAACATGGTGAAAGTCTCTACTAAAAATACAAAAATTAGGTGGGCATGGTGGCACACACCTGTAATCCTAGCTACTTGGGAGGCTGAGGCATGATAATGGCTTGAACCCAGGAGGTGGAGATTGCAGTGAGCTGAGATCACGCCACTGTACTCCAGCCTGGGCGACAGAGTGAGACTCTGTATCAAAAAAAAAAAAAAAAAAAAAGAGCCGGGCGGGGTGGCTCATACCTGTCTGTAAGTCCAGAGCTGATCATGAGGTCAGGAGTTCAAGACCAGCTTGGCCAATATAGTGAAACCCTGTCTCTACTAAACATATAAAAAATTAGCTGGGTATGGTGGCGGGTGCCTTTAGTCCCAGCTACTTGGGAGGCTGAGGCAGGGGAATCACTGGAACCCAGGAGGCGGAGGTTGCAGTGAGCCGAGATCGCACCACTGCACTCCAGCCTGGGTGACAGCGAGGCTTCATCTCAAAAAAAAAAAAAAAGAGAAAGAAAGAGGTCTTAACAGATCCTTTCTCTTTATTAGGAGCCTTGGCTCCTATGACAGCAGCCCAGAGCCGAAGGGAATTTTGAAAAATGATTTAGTCCAATCTCTCAGTGCTGCAAGCAGAAGCTGGCAATTAATTGTCCATCGTCTTTAAAAATCTCCACCTCAATACCCAAGAGAAAAGAGGCCCCACTGCCTTACTCAGTAGCCTATTATGAGTCAGGAAGTTGTTTTGGGGGCATAACCCAGTTCTTCCCTACTTTGATTTAGGTGACTTTCCCACTGAGGACACTAGATAGCATCTCTGGGGAAGGCAACTAGACACCTCCATTGACACATGGGCTGGGTACAGGGTCATTAAGACAGGTGGGAAATTAACCACAGGTCTTCAAGTTTTAATTTTCTTTTCCTTTGAGTCTTTTCTTTTTTTTTAATTAAAAGTTGGTTCTAATAAAAACACATAATTAGATAATTACCTTTATTATCATTTATTGGTTTCATTGCATGGTTTCCAACATCATCTTTGTGACCTAGGTGAAAAATAACAATTACCATGAGTGACAAGGGAAACTCTAGTTTTCTATAACCTTTTAAAAACTCAATGTCCCTATCAAAATCAAGCCTGATTTCTTCAGTGTAGTGACAACCAGCATTGTCTCTGGGTCCTGGGTCCCCTCGTTGGTCCCCCTGTGGGCTCCATTTGACCTGCTGTGCAGTCTTTTTCTTTTTCTTTCTTTCTTTTTTTTTTTTTTTTTTTTGAGATGATTCCTCTCTCTGTCACCCTGGCTGGAGTACAGTGGTGTGATCTCGGCTCACTGCAGCCTCCCCTCCTGGGTTCCAGTGATTCTCCTGCCTCAGCCTCCTGGGTAGCTGGGATTATAGGCACCCATCACCATGCCCAGCTAATTTTTGTATTTTTAGTAGAGATGGAGTTTCACTAGGTTGGCCAGGCTGGTCTCAAATTCCTGACCTCATGTGATCTGCCTGCCTTGACCTCCCCAAGTGCTGGGATTTACAGGTGTGAGCTACTGCACCCGGCCTGTATGGTCTTTTTCTAACATGAGTGGGGTGTCTACCACCCCATGGCAGGGGCACTTCCGTTTGTGAACTATTTGGAATTCAGAATTGTTCAATGTGAGCAAGTTCACGAGAAATTCTGGAAGGGACCAGCGAGGACTCAGAAACATGAAGGACACTAGCTAACTAACCGTGTCTAGCTGGAGAAGGAAACAGCAGGATCTCCAGGCTGTCATCTCAGTGGGCATGGACAAAAGCCATTTTTATCTTTGTTATTAAGTTGCCCTTTATTAAAAATAATTCATACAAAAGTCACAAATAGTATTCTTGAACACATGGCTTTCCATCATGTATTTGAATTTTACTATCATGATTACTAAAATATATTTATAAATTGAAATAATCTATGCAGAGATGATATAATAAGAATTGGAGTATTTGGAAATTAGAAGAAAAATCCTATTTTTATATAAACGTATATCAACATTTAATTTAGTTAAATGTTATATATAAATAATACAAATCAACAGAAGCCCCTTACGCCAAAAAGGTATTATTTTCTCTGTAGCAGTAGATTAATTTTTGATAAATAGTTACCTTTTTTTTTTTTTTTAGAGACAGAGTCTCACTTTGTTGCCCAAGCTAGTCTCAAGCTTCTGGCCTCAAGTGATCCTCCCACCTCAGCCTCCCAAAGAGCTGGGATTATAGGCATGAACTACCATGCCTGGCCTGAATACAGTTTCTTTTTTTTTTTTAAGATGGAGTTTCACTCTTGTTGCCCAGGCTGGAGTGCAACAGCTTGATCTCAGGTCACTGCAACCTCTGCCTCCTGGGTTCAAGCAATTCTCCTGCCTCAGCCTCCGGAGTAGCTGGGATTACAAGCATGCCTCACCATGCCTGGCTAATTTTTTGCATTTTTAGTAGAGATGGGGTTTCACCATGTTGGCCAGGATGGTCTTGAACTCCTGACCTCAAGTGATCCACCTACCTCGGCCTCCCAAAGTGCTGGGATTACAGTCATGAGCCACCGTGCCTGGCCTAGAATAGTTTCTTAACAATGTATTTGCTGTTTTCTTTTTACTAGCACATTACTTTTATTACCACAAATATTTTATTTTCCTTTTTTAAAGTTTATGATTCAGTACCATACAAATTACTCAATTCTTTTTTTTTCTTTTTCTATTTTTAGTATAGAGATGGGGGTTTCACCATGTTGGCCAGGCTCGTCTCGAACTTCTGACCTCAGGTGATCCCACCTACCTCAGCCTCCCAAAGTGCTAGGATTACAGGTGTGAGCCACTGCACCCAGCTTGAAATACTAAATTCTTACAGGTGTGAGCCACTGCACCCAGCTTGAAATACTAAATTCTTACAACGTATTTCTCAAGCAAAATATGTCTCTGTAAAAATATATCCTACAAATTTCTTAATTTGTGGGACACTTATACAATTAGAAAAGAACATGAGCATTCTATAACCAAATCTGCTGATAAAGAAAGAAAAGTGACCAGGAGCAGTGGCTCACACCTGTAATCCCAGCACTTTTGGAGGCCAAGGCAGAAGGATTGCTTGAGCCCAGGAGTCTAAAACCAGCATGGGCAACATAGGGAGATGCTGCCTCTACAAAAAATAAAAAGTAGCTGGGCATGGTGGCGCATGCTGGTGATCCCAGCTACTCGGGAGTCTGAGATGGGAGGATCGCCTGAGCCTGGGAGGAGAAGAAAGAAAGAAAAGAAAAGAAGGAAGGAAGGAGAGACAGAGAAAGAGGAAGGGAAGAAGGAAAGGAAGGAAGGAGAGAGAAAGGAAGAGAGAGAGAGAGAGAAAGAAAGAGAGAGAAAGAAAGAAAAAAAGAAAGAAAGAGAAAGAAAGAAAAGGAATGAAAGAGGAAAAGAGGGAAGGAGGAAAAGAGGGAAGGAAGGAAAGGGAAGAAAGGGAAGGAGGAAAAGGAAAGAAGAAAAGAAATAAAATAAATGAAGAAGAGTGGTCCAAATTTGGTCTGGGACAGAACCTATTGTGTGATGTATTACAGCCCCCTCTGGGAAGTAAGTAGCATCCTTGCTAAAATGCTTGAGCAATTTTCTTACTAACCTAATGGGATTAAGAACATTCTGCTGAGCTGAACCTGAAGCTAGTGATGAGCCTTAGAACCAGATATTTCTTAATTGGAGCACTTTCTTTTTATGCCTCTACTAAAAGAATATTGAAATTAGTTTCCCTTTGTGGCAAATTTGAAGTAAAACTGTCTTGTGCTTGTAATAATTCCATCTGAGATGTTTTGCCAATGTTTTAATTCAATATCTGGTCTCTGTCTAGCAAATGGAGAATTATACTACTGCGTTGGAGCAATATTCAAAGTCTTTGATGGTAACAAGGCATGATGATTATTCTCTATCTTTCATCTACAGGAAGTTTAGGTGTCGAAGGTAGAATAAAATGTGCTACCTTTCCTTTTAAGCTTCTGTTTTACAAGCTCACTGCTCAGTGGCTGATGGGATGACATAGTCCCAGTGAAGCCAGGGTTTCTCTTCCAACTTTAATCCCACTACTCACAGATTCTGCTATTGAGGTGGCTAAGGAAGCATGTAGCAAGTTGGGGAAAATTAGCAATGGCAGAAGACCGCGACTTTACCGTAATGACTGTTAGCTTCCATGCTGGGATCTGACATTTTCTCGTTGTTGGAGTTCAGAAGTGGTATTGCTGGCCTTAAAATCAAATATAAAAAGGGAAAACAATATATATATGTTGTTCTAACCCCAAACCAACAAAGTAATCAAGGGAAGATCATGAGAAAACCAGGAAGAGTTTTCCAAGGTAAGGAAACTTCACTGTCTCATTTGGAAAACTACTATTTTTTTTGCAGCTCCACGGATTATGTGAAAAAACTTTTTTTTTTTTTTTTTTTTTTGAGACAGAGTCTCACTCTGTTGTCCAGGCTAGAGTGCAGTGGTGCAGTCTCGGCTCTCTGCAGCCTCCGCCTCCCGGTTTGAAGCAATTCTCATGCCTCAGCCTCCTGAGCTGGGATTACAGGCATGCACCACCACACCTGGCTAATTTTTATATTTTTGGTAGAGATGGGGTTTCGCCATGTTGGCCAGGCTGGTCTTGAACTCCTGACCTCAGGTGATCTGCCCACTTCAGCCTCCCAAAGTGCTGGGATTATAGGCATGAGCCACCATGCTTGGCCGTGATAAAACTTTTTGCCATTAAAGTAAGCATCAGGACCAAAGGGCACATGAACAGCAGGAGGGCTTCACAGCCCACTCCCAAGCCCCTGAATTCCTTGTCCTGTGCTACTGTTTCTCCCCAGAACACAGCAACCATTTCCATACTTTTGGATTTGGGATTTCAAGAACAGTAAAGATAGTAAAACCATTTCTTAAAAGCCCCTATTTTGCCAAATTTAAAAAATGTTATCTACTACCTTTATAATTTCATAAGGAAAAGGAGATTTCACAAATAATCATCTAGGAAGGACGTGATCTCAGAATAAAAGCCATGCCTTCCCATGAAAGGACAATTGGCAGTCTTCCACTGAGACACACACACACACACACACACACAAACACACACACACACACACAAACAAACTCACAGCCAAGGAAGGCCTATATTTCTGTGAGTTTGCCAAGAGCTACTGAAAATTTCCTAATGACCAGAATCTCCCTTCAGACATGTCCACCCTGCTCACAGAGCAGACGCCCCCTTCTTAGAAATATACTCACCTGGACATTTCCACCGGCATCTGCTTGGCTTTAAAAAAGAAAAAGAAAAACCAAAGTCAGTCTACGGTGCCTGCATCCATACCACTATAATGGCAAAACGGCAATTACTTTTGCACCAACCTAATAGAAAACACTTTTTCTTTTTCTCCTAGTAAGCTGTAAAGGAACACTCTTTTCAACAACATTTGACTTTCCAGAAGATTGAATACCCAGAAAAAGAAAAGAAAGCCAAATATATTCACACTTTTACAAAAGACAGAAAAGAAACAGGTATTCTCTTGGTCTTCTACCAAGATATTTCCCCAGAAACATGATATCTTGACTATTTTAGTCAGAAGTGATTTTCATTAGTGAAATGTGATAGAAAAGCGTCAATAATACAAGAACCAGATTAGCCGTAAGCAGGCAGCTCGCTGTCTCTCTTTTTTTTTTTTCTTGAGACAGAGTTTCTGCTGTCGAAACGTCACACACACACACACACACACACACACACACACACACACACA